CGGTTTATTTGAGATCAAAAGAAAAAAATTTTAGAATGCCTACCCTTGGTGCCATCCTCTGTAGAATCAATCTCTGCTAGGGTCGTTGCTGAACTAGACCGAACGTCGCCCACCATCAGCTACTGCAGGGCGGCCTTGATCCAACTTAGTGGGGTTCAAAAGACTGATAATATTAAAAGAAGGACTGTTCATCCATCGCTCTCTACAAATACTGTAATTTCTGAGAGATAATTGCAAACTGCAGTGGAAGGGTGGACAGATGAAGCGGTGAAGCAGCCTGAGCTGAACAAGGGCGAGAACAACATGAAGGAAGTTGATAGGCACAGATGATTTTGGATGGTCTTGGAATGGTGTAGTGTCATGAGAAAATGATTTGTGGAAAAGGATAAGATCGACACCATCCACGAACGTGCAGAGGGCTAGGGGCATGGCCATGTAATGTAGGGTCTGGTGTCTCTATCTTTCTCGTCAAAGCCTTTACATGCGTAGTAGTCAGCTTTGGTGTTTGGGCAGGCAGCGAGTTAAGGGGAGAACTAGATGCAGCTCTGAGGTCTGCTTCGAGTAAGTTTCTGTACCTCATGTTGAAAGCTACGACCTTGACTCGGTGAATGTGATACGGATGCGGTTTGACAGGAGGGTATCTGAAGAGCAAGCGGGCCGGATAAAAGTTCATCAAGCTATCAAGACCGATAGAAAGCACTATAGGAATCTGGATGATTTCCGAATGAGTGGATAGCGAAGGTATATAATCAAATGAAAAAAAAGTATGAGTGTTCTCAGGTTTTCTATTCTAGATCTACAATGTTCAATTTGGAAAATCAAACGACAAATGGGCAATTTGAAGGCTTTCCCCCCCAAAGGGTAAGGATCCGCTAAAGAAGTCGAAGAGTATAGAGAATAAAGATGATAAGAGAGAAATCATGAGAATAATAAGAGAGGAAGAGTCAATCATGAAGATGATAAGAGAGGAATCGTGAAAATAATAAGAGAGGAACCATGAACATAATAAGAGAGGAAGAGTTAATCATGAAAATAATCAGAGAGGAAGAGTAGAAGAGTCAAAAATAAATATAATGAGAAAGGAAGAGTCAATCACGGAAAGAAAAAAACGGTGCGAGACCACATAGATCAATTTTCTCGAACCTGCTCTCGAGGTCCTTCGTTAACCATCAAGTCCCGAAAACCTTCGACGCGAAATCCAAAGATCCAGAAATACAAAAAAGGCGAAAAATGACGAAAGATTATCCCACCAACTCGAGTCGCCTCAGTCGCCGCGTCTTAGTCCACGGGAAGAGGCGCTTGAACCAAACACGAAGCTTGAAAAAGATTCCTGTACCGTTCTCAACGTGTCTGGAGATGAGTGGTCGGGGAGCTCGTGTAGGCGTTTGCACCGACCCAGGAGAAGACAAAGGTGGCGATGGCGACGAAAGGGTAAGGGGTGCGTCGGAGACGAGGATTCTGTTATTCGACATCGACGTCTCTGGCTTCGAGCGGACATCGAACTCATGCGAAGATGTGGCAAGAGCGGAGATGCACGACGGCGTCAAAGGTGTCGGAGGGAGATGCAGTGTCGAAGTGGACAGAACTATCAAAGGCTTCTCTGGCTGGGATCGGAGCTGTCCTGTTGACGAGGAAGATGGAGAGTGAGACGACTCTGAGACCTTGGACCACGGCCACCTACACAAGCGTTGGAGAAACGCTCTGATAGGACTCGGAGTGCGTTTCTCCTTGTCCACTTGTTCTAGTTCAGGCTCTCTCACCGCCTGCACACGCACCTCGCCTTCTACCTCTCCAGTCTCGCGTAATTGCTGCTGCTGTACCACAACCGCCGCCGCCTCTTCCTCTTCCCTAGCCACCACCTGTCCTGCCTCTCCGTCTGCTTCTTCGCCAGTTCTGACCCACAGGTCAACCTCTCCAACTTGACCGTCCTCTTCCCTGGACCAATCAAAGTCCGGATACGGCCCATTTCCACCTCCACCCCATTCCCCATCCCCATCTTCGTCGTTCACCTCAAACGGCCGCCCGGGTACAAACTCCGGCTCCTCCTCGTCGTCTGAAAGGATAAAGGATGGCTCGTCGGAAGATGGCTTCCATGGCGCAAGAACGGCGTGTGTTTCGAGGAGGGCCCAGTCACTGGTGGAAGCGTGCTAGATGTGTATTGTATGAGAGGGAAGGTAAGGGGGACGTACATGTCATCAAAGAGGGGATGTTCCTTGATGTCGGTGATGTGTAGACGGTCTTCGGGGCACTTTTCTAGCATCTGGGATGGATGTGATGATGATAAGTAGGAAGATGGTGGAGGACGTAGAGAGGATGAAGGACAGAACACGTACCAAGGTGAGAAAATCGCGTGCAACGTCGCTGACGTCGTCGTCCTCTGGATCTCTAAACTCCAGATCCGCCTCAAGCACCTCTTTCCGGACGTCATTGAAGTCGCCCGTCTCCGCATCAAATGGAGGCTACAGGCGAAAAAATATCTACGTTAACCAAAAGGGCGCCAGAATCAAAGGCGACTCAACTCGGCCTGTAAGCATCATATACAAGCTAACCGCTGCCGCCCAAAAGTCCACACCAAACGAGTACGTCTCGCCTCTCATGAGCTCAGGCGCCATATGCAAGCCAGTGCCGCAGCGCGTGTACAGCGTGAACATCAGACGTGGGTCGTCGCCGGAGCGCGGGATTGTATGGGGGCCCAGGACATCCCCACGCGCATACGGCCAGTACGGCTGGAACACGCGCTCTGCGAGCGTCGGTCGAGCGTGGAAGTCGCGCGAAAGCCCGAAGTCGGTGAGGACGACGTGTCCCGAGGAGGAGAGGAGGAGGTTGGAGGGTTTGATGTCCCGGTGAATTATGCCAAGAGAGTGGACATGGGTGAGGGCAAGGTACTGCGTGGGTGGATAAGTGGTGTGTGGGGGAAAGTCAGAGAGAAGCGGAAATGTGAAGAGGACGTACGGTCTCGGCAAAGTAGAAGCGCGATCGGGCTTCAGAAAGCTTCTTGCAGTGGACAATTTCGCTTTCAATGTCGGTGGGGTATAGAGGCTATGTTGAGTCAGCGCTGCTTGAGGTTCTGGAAGAAGAAAGGGAGTGTACCATCAAAAAATAAAAGTTTCTCGTGTCGTAAAAAGTAGCTTCGAGCTCTATCAAGTCAAGCCTCGTCCCCTTACGCTCGACTTCGAAGTTCAGCAATAGAGCGCGAAGGATTGACTGCTCCTCGCGCACGGAAAAGATTTGTCCGAATCCCATCTTCATGTGTGGTACGACTTTGAGTGCGCGTCGGACTTTGGTTCGGCGGTTTTGTACAAGGTACACCTGTGCGGTTGCTCCGACCCCTATGACTTTGAGGATGTCGAGGTCTACGAGAGGCTCGATGAGGGGCTCCGATGCTGATACTGACGAGGGTTTCGAAACGGAGCTAGGTAGTTCCGGGACAGAAAGTGCTTTAATCGGGATATTGCCGATCAGCGTTGGTGAAGGCGATGGATTGAGAAGGCAAGTTGAAGCTGCCGGGCAAGCGATCACTGTCATCTTGTTTACCTCAGTGACCTAGGCGTTGTTGCCTGAGCAGATGGCTGACAAGTAAAACAGGAAAGCGCACAAAGTTGTTCAAACCATATACCATGCTCCTTCGTATGTCCAGGACGCTTGGATCATGGAATGCATTGGTGACGTTGGTTCCAAGGTGAACTTTGGTCTGCGGGCTGTCAGTAGGATGGAGTGAAAGAGGGTCACACTTACACCTTCAGTAGAGGCTGACGTCAAACCCAAATTATGCGGCGCTGAAGCAGTCTGACGGCAATTAAATGGATAGGAGAAGAAAGGAAACTAGTATACCTTTCTCTTGAGTTTCCTGTCGACGAGAGACCGGAAAGAGAGGGAGGCAGAACGAAAGAAAGGCATTTGTGTGTGATGGGAGGATGGAGGGAATGTACAAGAACGAAGAAAAAGGAGAAGGCAGTGAAACTTGAGACATGAATAGTTTCGATCAGAAGTGTCAGCCCAGTAGAGTCACCCAGATGAGGCCACAAGTCTAAATCCAGAGAGAGCATCAGAATAGCAGCTGCCAGTGGCAAGAGTAGCAAGAAAGTTCCTCCAGGTGATGTTCATCATAGACGCACGTGACTAGAACGCGCGTTGTGAAGTTTTCGAAGAAGGCGGGACGATTTAGTCGGCTCCCAGCTTGGAGAATGGGATCATGCAACCTCCCAAGGATCGTACCAGCACAAGTTGGCAAGTCACCAAGAGAGGCAGATCCACGCAAAAGATTTGGACGGACAGATTCTTTTTGTCACGGTCGTCGTATCATCACTCTTGCACAACGTCCTAAGTCTCTCCAAGATGACCTTTTATGGTCGTGAGCGCGACTGATGAAGATTATTCCTTGCAGATCTCCAGTATAGATAGAACGTGCACCAGACTAGTTAAGGTACTCACAAGGATTTCGCAGGATAAATTTGACCATTTTCATGTCTTTCTCAATTGCAAGATACTTACAGTCTGTTAAACCCTCAAAGGTAAAGGTCCGATCTGTGGATTGAGTAACTTGTATATCATGTGTCGATAAAAGCCCTGATTGGTATGAAAGTCTCACTCCCTCACCTGGCTCCCAGTCAACCGCGTATCCATCCTGACTGAACTGCTCTTCTCACGAGGGTTAAAGCCATTCTAAAAAACGGAAACCCCTAGGGAGAGGTTCATGAGCGGCCTCTATGGGATCTTGGTGAACGACACGCGCGAGTGGCTGGGCTGCGACCACAGAGCAACTTTGGGTATAAGAACATGCAGATCATCGAGTCTCATCGAGTACGCTTTCGAGATTGATGAGAGTGTTGCGCTCTGCACGACAACAGAGCGGGTTGAGTTGATGCTCAGGGTCAGGTGAATTGCATTAAGGAATATGTGGCTTGTTGGAAGAGTAAGTATATGAATATCGAGATGATTTTGCTTTTGTTTGCATGATTTTTTTTGTTATCATATGAAGAAATCTGCGAGAGAAAAAGGCATTCGGATACGGGGAATCGAACCCCGAGCTGCCGCGAAGGATCAAGCAAAGACTAGATGAGAGGCGGCAATGTTAGCCGTTACACCATATCCGATGGAAGCTTGCTTTGACATTGTCAAGACATCAGTAGTATAAGGTTGAGAATGGTCTGTTAACATTCTTCATTGCAACCAGTCTAGCCCTATTCCTCAAAATATATAGTCTTTTTGTGTTGAATCCTGAACTGCGACCTTATGGTCAAGAACTTGAGAATATAACGATAAATCTATTCTTCAGTCCGGTGGTCAACTAAGAGTCCTACCTAAGAATATAACGATAGGGTATGTAATTGTTCATAGTCCGAGAGATTATAGCTACCCGTGTGTACAGTGCAATAGCCGATTCTGCATATGGGGGCCACGTACGGTGATCCTGTGGTGGTCGCTGCGTCGTCTAATACTTTGTACTCTATCACCAGGATTTTTGATGACTCGCTCGCTTTCCGCGTCTATACTGTGCTCTGCGGCTGTCTAGGGATACTTGCCGGGTGAGAAGCACACATGATACCACTATGTTTCTCAGAAAGGGCTTCCCTGCTATTGAGCGATGCAAGGAGACTATTAAAAAACACTACACATACATTAAATCTGATTTCCATGCGACGGGAAAGGACTGGTACTTACAGCTGCTGAGCGGGAAGAAGATTGCCATGAAAGTAAAATCATCAGGCCACTCCCCAACTGCATAGCATATGAGGCACGTCGTGTAACAGATACTGATCAAATGGTCCATCCACATCAGCAAATGTGTTCATGTCTCAAGGACTGACTTACGTCGTCAGGAGAGCTACGTGTGACTGTTATCAATACAATTGCGTGATTGTTGCCACGGCTTCGAACACACCTGTGTTGATTGTGTACATCATGAGCGTATTGACAAGTGATTTGCTCCTTTAAAAATCGTTAGAGAGTGTAAATTGATTATGCATAGTGTTACTTTTCCAATCCAGTGCGATGGAGCCATAGGTTGATGCAGAGGAAGGTTGCAATGAGCGTGTCAGCTGCGATTGCACTTGCAAGCCCTATGTAGAGCATGGCCTAAGAATACCTGAAAAAGATATATAGTGCTTGGGGTCGTATTACGTACTGATATTATTGAGAGGTTCGGCGTTATCCCGATAAACCTAAGTCACGTTGAGTTTCATGCACGTCACAAAAAATTGGAACCTACGCATATGCAGTAAATGCTTAGCGGTGTTAATGATCTAGGCTGGCTGACAGATAAAAAGAAGATGAAAGGACTAACTCACCAAGACCAGATGCTGGAAAGCGCTCAGGTTGTTAACTTTATGTAGTCGAATTCTTAAGAGACCATACCAAAAGAAAGAAGCGATATCAACGCCTGTTTTCAATTAGCGTCTTCCGAGGTTGGGAACATGAATCAGGTTTCAGCGCTTACAAGACAAACTACGAAGAGGTTACTTCTCCTGGACACTATGAAGCACACATTGAGCTTGGCAAGATTCTGATGATGATGCGTTTTACACACAAATCCAGACACGGCGCCCGAAAATCCTAAGACTCAACTATGTTCGACTTTCTTTCACAAATGTAGAGTTATCGATGACAGAACGCACCATCTGACAATCAAATCACTGAGATTCTAAAGCAAGGCCACTCAAAGTTCCCGCCTCAGTGACTTTATGGGGGTAAAGCTTACCGAGATGCAGACTTGCAAGAGGAAGCTCCTGCCAGTATTCAGCGATTTGTTAGAATCCCATCCGGAAACAACCTTAGAGGGTATATAGCTTACCAGACTGGTGGCGAGGCAAATACAAAATAGTTTCCAAAGTTTGAGATTGTGTATATGTAAAGGCCGTGGATAATGAGCGCCAGATGGAGGGTATTCAGTATCCTGATGCATCATGAGCAATTCGAGGGTGATGTGCCTTGCGTGAGTAGCCAGTTCTTACCAAAGGACAAGTATCTGTATATGTAGGTTGTCAGATGTAGTCGATCCGGTGTAAGGGTTTCATCTCAGATGAAAACATACTGCTGTCTTTAGCCATTTTTTATCTTTTTGATAAGTCATAAAGTAGATATAGGACTGGACACATGTTATGCCATAGAATCTGGGAGAGAATGATTAGGACAATTCCGAAACATACTGAAGATAAAGTACTGACATCCCAGTGACAATTCCGCCAATGAAGACAGCCCCCAATGTGTTATCCAGGGGAATCAGAGGATGGAAAGTAGTTGCCATTATTCCAAATTTGTGCAAATGGTGTGGTACCGGGGAGAAGAAAGAGAAGGGGATATGGTAAGTCTATTATCGCCACAGATTCACATCTTATACTTGTTCTAAGGAGTTCGTGATGTTGGAACGTTGCTCTAATAATTACTTTTTGCAACAATCATTGATCATGTATAAAGCCTTACCTGAATGAGATATGCTTGATATTGTTGAGTTTCTTGTAGCTCTCTCAGCCACAGAAAGATGCATCAAATACACACTAGTGACATGTAATTGTGGATCTTTATTGATGATCCTGCTACAGGACATTTTAAAGCACGCTATGCAACATGAGAGCATAAGAGTGACCAGGTTTTAACCCTAGACATTGAGCAAGTGCTTTTGAGTATGGCGAGTTCTATCCCTGGAGAACATCTGTCAAAACCATAGAGAAGTTAACAACATTTATCATCATCAAAAGCGAGTGATAGATTGACCTCAATTGCGACTCAACGTTGATGTCGAGGTCATTGACATGCAGTTGCTTGCATTTACCTGGAGGCCATTCTAACCCGATCCCAAAGATATCTTGGCCAAATAAAGGGTGGTGTCTACCCTCATTGACCCAATGGGTACGGCCTCACTGTCTATACTTGCGGATGTATCATGCATTGTAAGTACTCAATCTTCCTCCATAGTCGGACAAATGTGTGCGTTCCGCATCCTAAGCCTCAGGTTTTCACAGGAGACTTACTGTATAATGACATGAAGCACTATACACGGACAGGTAATTGATCTGGATCGTATCTGTGATGATTCAACATGGTCAACCTCAGCTGTCATCGCCTTTCCCTAACTCTCGGACTTGACAGATGTATCAGATTAAAATAACTGACCAATGGCCGGAACCAAACATGGAGGATACAGCCTGCAACATCGTTGCTTGCAACAAGAAGAATAGTGAATCGAACCAAGAGGAATCAGCAATAGTCTGCTTCCACCCCTCAGTTCAATCAGCGTTGCCCTGCACCGCCAATCATAAGTCGGCAGCATGCCCATATAAGTAAGCATATTGATCAAGTTTGCTGACAAGCGTCTACGTCTATAAGCTCCTACCCTTTCAAGCTCTGGATCCAAACATGGTACGGAGCATACCAAGGCCTTGACAATCAGTACAGCGACCTCTCACCTGGCTGCGATGAGCTACGAGGACGAGATAGTACTGAGACAGGGGATGGGAACTGCATCTTAGTTTCTGGATTTCCTTCCATGCCTGTCTGACGATCGAACAGCTGACACGGTGGGAATTTGCCGAAATACAATTCGGATCATTTAATATTACGCTCTAATCCGAGTCCTTCAGAATTACTGCAACAAATCTGCCTGCTTGTGATCGAGGTCACTAAGCATTGCACTATTTCACGACTACTCTGATTTATTCAGGATGACACTTGTACAACGACTCCCTCATCCTATACCGGAACCCCCAAGGAATGAACGTTCTCCGGACCGGTGGAACTTGTGTTCATATATTGAATACTGAATTCCCATGATACACGACTAGGTCTTCTCACACCTAGACCATTCTTGCCCTTCCAACTACACACAGTAGATACAATGGCATCCAAAGCTCTACTATCCGCCTTTAGAGCAAACCGACCCGCATTTGGAGTTTGGCTCACTGCCGGAGGGACTTTCCATGCCCGTACTGTTGCCCAAGCCTCCCCACACCTATCCTGGGTCGTCGTCGACTGCGAACATGGCATCATCCCTCTTGTTCCCGGCGCAGCAGAAACAGTGGCCGCCATTCATGGTGCCGTGCCAAATGGAGGAGGACCCAGCGCTGTAGTCCGAATTCCTGCGACGGGCACTTCGGGCAGCACGAGCTGGCAAATTAAGCATGCGCTTGATGCAGGAGCGAGAGGTGTCATAATTCCAATGGTCCGTCCAACTCTTCTTTCCGGAATATATACTGAGCTTGTTTCCATGTGTTCAGGTGTCGACCGTCGAGAAAGCACGAGAGATTGTCGCTGACAGTCGATTTCCACCTATAGGCCGGCGAGGCTTTGGCTCCCCATATACGCACGGAATCTGGGGCGTCGGTGTCTCTGAGTACCTATCAACAGCGAATGACGATATATCTGTTATGGTGCAGATTGAAACCCGAGAAGGTGTTAAGAATATGAAAGAAATTGCTGCTGTTGACGGTATAGGTAACAGTCAGTCGTCACCACTCAAGCTTCAAGTTCTTAATGTGTTTAGATGTACTCTTCATTGGCCCTTACGACCTTTCAATTTCGCTGGGATATCCCACGCCCAATCCCGACCCCCACCCGGATGTCGAAAAAATCATCCAGCAGGTACTTACAGCTGCACATGATGCAGGGAAGAAATGGTTGGTCTATTTTTTGCTTATTCGTGCTCGAGCGAAGCTCATGGCTTGGCACTACGTCTAGCGCTATCTATTGCACCTCGGGGCCTCAGTCGGTCAAAAGAGCAGCACAAGGTTTTGATATGGTAGGACTACTCTATCTCACAGTGACAAGTTTCACGATTGATGACTTGTGATAGATAAATGTCACATCCGATGTGGGGGCGATGACGCAGGGAATTGCCGAGAGCCTCAAAACAGCTGTTCGGCTATAACGCAGGGATTTGCCGAGAACCTCAAAGCAGCTGTTCAGTACTTAGTTCGGCAGCTGTGATTCAATTGTTCAATCGATTCCCCAGTAATCAAAGGTTACACCATTGGTAAAAATATTCAAAGACCAGGCTTATGTGTTTGAGAGTTCAGATGGCCACCATGAAGGCTGGCAGTACAAACGAGGATGAAAATAGGATGTCCTGCTTCGCAGAAAGGCGTTAAAAGTTGCCGCAAGA